AGAGCTCACAGTGCTGTTGGGTCCTCTCTAAGAGCTGATGGGATTGGCTAGTGGTCACAGAGATAGTTGTTGAGAGTTAGGGCCACTTACACTTAAATTATTTCTAACATCCAATTTCAAGCAGAAAACAGAAGATTAAAATCCCCTGGAGGGGTAGTTGTTCTCTGCTGCTGGTATCAATTTTCTGTCAAAACAGTTCATAATTAGAAACCAATGAAAATTTCCAGGGAATATAAATGTACAGAGCATTTATACCTTACTGTGAAATTAGTCATTTCCCCCCTACAGTATAGGGAATAGGAGATTTAAATTTTCATAGGTATGAGGAAAGAGATATGAGAGATAATGTAAATGGATGGTAGCATTTCCCCACTTTTATATTTTATACAACAAATACTCACTGATTTTCTATCATGTCCCAGATACTGAGCCAGGTCCTGGGATTCTAGGGTAGGTAAGACATGACCCCTACCCTCTATAAGGAAGGAATTAAATTAATTGAAATAAATACCTTAGCCATGTTCAGAGACACAGATAAAGTCTACAGAGGCATAGGGAAAAAGGTATCTTTGGGGTGAAAGTTAAAGAACATACAGGAGCTATTAGTTACTTGAAGGAAGCCAATTGTGTCTCATTTGGTGACCTGGTGTATATAACATTTGAGGAAATGATCAAGGAATCTATTCTAACATAAACAGAGATACACACAGAAAAGGAACAACTTTCTCCCCTATTTCTGAAATCCTTTCTATCCTTCTGAGACTACTGTTGCATACAGTTATTCATTCAGCACTCACTCATTAGCTATTATATTGTGTGCTCAATATGCCTGGAAATAGGCTGGAATCTGGGGATACCATGACTTTTAAAAATTAGAGTTGTGTTAAATTTTCCCAAGGAAAAAGTACGGTATACAAGGAAGGGGCATAGAATAATACACCACAGATGCTCTCACCTAGCTAAGGGAGGGCAGGAGGGAAGTGATCACCTTTGGAAAGAGAAGTTAAGATGAAGGTGAAGGATGCATATACATTAGTCAACAGGGAGGAAGGCTCTCTGAAAGTTTGATATGAGGAGGCATGAAGAGCTTGGTTAGTTTGGGAAACCAGACTAGAGATGAGGGAATAAGGGGAGTGTGGGTGTCCCTAGAAAAGCTGACTCATGGGTTTTCTCAGTTAGTGAGCCAGGCAACAGATGAGGCCCTATTCACTGTGAGTTTAGCACTGACTTTGGACTAACTTCTAGTCAAATGTTGACTCTGTCTACAGGATCATCCTAACCTGACTTGCATGCACTTAGTTTAGTCTTTAACTTTCACAAAACTCTTATGCCTCTTTCCCCTCAAATATCACATATTGCCAAGCTTACAAAATAACCAACCAGTTTTCTACTCTGTGGCTATCCTCTGCTCGGTGGTTTCACTGCTTCTGCCACTGCCTGTACATAGGTTCACTCAGTTTGCTTCTCAAAGGTGTCTCCACAAATTACAAGCTGCATACATTATAAGATTGGAAATTAACATTTAAACTAGTCAGTTTCTTTCCCACTAACTTCTCTGAAATTGTTAAGAGGAGAGAGGGGTGATTTTTTATTTCCAATTCATATCATTCCTATGGTAACACCACCTCACCACCTCATCCTCTTTAAAGGAATTCATGAGCAGAGAAGCAAGTACACTATAGAACAGCCTGCAGGAAGTCTCAAGGACAGTGGAGAGAAGGACTTCTCCCCAAAAGTCAAGCTTTCTTCCAGTGAAAATTCTCCCCAAAATATGCTAGATGTGTCATAGAGATATATAAAAAAAAGTGTTATTTTGACTTTTTCAATGTAAGACATTGAACCACACGTGGGGATTAATTTCCTTCAAAAAACTGTTAGGACAGTTAATATACCTTTCTCCCGCCATTCAACATATATGACCTAGACTGCCTTTGTGAGCCCAAATAGATAGCCCAGTTGCAATTTGCGATTTAATGTTAGGATGAGTAGTGCTAGTAACAGATACTCTAAAAAAAAGCATGGAGTATTTATACAAGTTAATACCATTTCCCCCCCATCTTTTGCCTTCCACCATACTTTCCAATGCTAAAAAACATTCTTTTTAGTAAGTCTGACAAGTTAGCATCAAGTCCACGAATTCATTTTCAGCAGTAGATGATTCACAAACAAGATACTGACAGGTTTTTCTGATTATAGACTCCACAAATTCCTGGTCTCATATTCATAGAGATTGGTAGATATGAAGAAAAAAAATAAAAAAATGAAGCAGATATAAATAAGCTTTTTCATTAGAATGACTGATGATAAGCATTGACCCCACCTAACAACACTCTTCAATTTGTGAGCTTTTTATTTCATTGTTTTTGATCTGTGATCTTGGTCTTTATAAGAAATTTTTAGCAAAAGAGGCCCACAGGTAACTAAGAAGATGGGTGGCTGGAAATAAATGTTTCTGCAAGCATTTATTACTCTTCAGAAATGTCCATCAGCTGAAATGCTAGTCCCATACACCCACTTAAGCAGTGCAGGGAACTGTCATTAATTTTTAAGGCTGGCTGACAGCTTTCAGTCCAAGAACAAGGCTTAACTTTGCATTTTGAATAATGCAGAGATTTTCATTATCTAGAATAGGAATCAAAATGATAAATGATATTTTGTCTGCCAAAATACTGTGACATTACGGTATATATTTGCAGTTACCTTTTGCAATAAGCTTTCCAGAAATATACTTAGACAAATTGGAAAGCTATCAGTATTTTTTTTTCTAATGTTAAAACTTTGGAAAAATAATTCAAAGGACACATCTTGACTGTGGGTTGTTAATGTCATATCCAAAGGGCAGTTTTTTATTGCACCCGAAAGCTAAGTGTTGGCACAAATCATACTAGACTATGAGATCATTGGAATTGGCTTCAGACATTCCTTTTGCTCACATCTGCCTTTTGAAGATTCTGGGACAATTTAATTACACTTGCACTTTTGATTCCTACTTCTTTCAATAAAAAATGTAAAATTACCCTCACTTGAGAACTATCAGACTAAAAGGTTTGTGATTGCTTTTCACTGTCATCTCTCTTCCAGCAGATTATCATGTCAGGTTGAGCGGGGGCATATTTACTTTGGTTTTGAGCATCAAAGGCTCTTTCTGGCTTTAAGAGTTGCTTGAATGGAAGGTAACACAACTATTATATCCAGATTGCTCTCGGTAACTTAATGTATGGCCTTAATAACAAACACTAGAATTAAACCATTAATAGAATAGGCTGCTAGCAGCTGCTTCAATGCCAGTTTGATGGGCATTAAAATAGCTGATTCAGAGATTTCTATAGAGAAACTTAAGTTAATTAAGGACACCAAAGTCAATGACACTACTATATCTGTCAGTAGCAATACAATCCATATATACTGACATCATTACCCTGAAAGAAGGCTGATAGAAGGTCAAAGAACATTTACCCAATTTAGATGAGCCTTTTATTTTGCATGTCACTTTGGATTTCCAAGTTTTGCTTAAAATCAGCAGCCTCAAGGCTTTATTCTACTAGATAAAAGAATACTATTGATCAACCTGACTTCTTCTCAATAATTTAGGGCCAAGCATTAGTGTTGTTTGTGATCCTCTACCCAGGTTAGTGGGGAGGAAAAAGAAAACTCTTGGCATTTATTCAAGGGATTTATTTATAAGAGTTTCAGTTGGAATTTGTCAATCTATTGATCAGTTTTTGAATATTTGTTTAGTCACAACTCTAACAATATCTTTTAGGTCCCAATTCCAGACAAAATTGTTAAGCATAACCAGATGCTTTTGGTTAGATAGCTTCTTAGCCTTGTAGTGACTCAGGAGCATGCTGCTGACTTTCCATACATTAACTTTGACACATTGTGGGACTACTAACGGGACCCCAGAAAATATTCTTTTTGAAGTTAACCTCATAGTGGGAAGTGCTGTCATTACAACTACACTTTTGAAATTTCATGAACATTTTGGCTCATCTAGCATTAAAAAAAATCCCCAAGCAAATGATGCAGTATGTTTGCTTGTCTTCACTGCCTGCTGAGTTTAACCATAGTCTAGTATTTCCTCTATTTGGTCAAATAAACTGAAGTAAGAATTCATTGTCAACCAGATTCCTGTTCATATATCACACACTGCATCTATTTTATGGGAGGCATTCATTAGCTCTCTTGCGAGTTGTGTTCTAGAAAGAAGTTATAATGGCTAGCTTAACACCCCTCTGAACTTTACAATTTGGACAGTAACCTGCAGTGATATTAACAAAAACTTAAGAATGATTTTTTTTGTCTATAATAATTTACCTTTTAAATAATTTAAGATTTCCTTTGACATTCTGTGAATCCACATAGAGTTGTACCCAGAAGTACCTTATAGCTGAATAGTATTTCAATAAACACCAGTTCTTGACCTCTGTTGCTAGATGTTTACCTATGTAATTTCAAATCATCGGTCTTTTTTAGAGTGTTCTGTTCAAAATTAAATTTTAACCTCCCACTAATTATTTCCAGCATCACTTTTTAAAAGCTTATCACATTAAAATTTGTTATTTTAATTTTTCTTGAGCATTTCATATATTTACAAGCACACATATCTTCTCATGATACATTGCATTGATGTTATTTCTAATATATTTCAAAATTTTGCAGGCAACATTTTTATAATTGGTGATGGACAAAACAGCTCCTAATTTTCTACTCAGTATAATGTCTGGATGAAAAGTTACTAAGATTGATATGACTGATATGCCAACTATAGACTTCTGTGTCTCTGGGCATCCTGCCACACAACTTGAGTGGAAAGTTTCAATGCTTAATACCATCTTAGTCATCTGCAATTTAGTATGTAAATGTTTGATTATAGTTTAAATGCTGAGTTCAATCATTTTAAATTCCAAATATGAAAGATTTCATAACACTGTAATGAGTAGTCTTGGCATATATACCTCTTCTACAATAAGCCAATAGGTAGGTAAAACAGTACTTACAAGTATCTTCTTCTTCCATGAAAATGCTGATCACATAGCAGGCATACACGAAACCAACCAACTGCAGAGGAAAACAAATAGTACTTTCAGAATTTATGTCAAATGTCCATCATCAAAGAATTTATGTAATCTAATAAAGATCAGGAATATATAATAATATCAATGAATTTATAACAGAAAAATTCTTGTTATCAAGTAACTGATTTTAAGGAGTTTTTTTTCATTTCTACTTAGCTTTAATAGCAATCTAAAAAAACAGACAGACAGAAATTGTTAAAAAACAATTACTAGATATTCTATGTAGATTTTAATTTGGAATTTACATTCCTTGTATTTAAGATTCAGCACAGGTGATACATATATTTCAGTTTTGCCTATTTATAGACCAACATAATGAGGATAACAGCAAGCCTCAATACTACTACTTTTTTTTTTTAAAAGATTTATTTATTTATTCATACAGAACTGGGGTACAGGCCAGAGATGCGGAGGGTGAGAGGATTCACCAGGGACAGAGTGGGGAGCAGAACAGGCAGATTAATGAAGTACACTGCTGAGGGGAGCAGCGGGCTGGTCAGGAGAGGTCTGCCGCACCATGTGGATCTCCTCCGGGGCAGGCGGGGGTAGAACTCATGCTGAAGTGGCTTAAGCTTCTTAGTGCAGTGCTTTAACCCGCTGCGCCACAAGGGAGGGCCAATACTGCTACTTTTTAAATGCTTAACATTAGGGCTACTTATTTTTTGAAAAAACTGTCTTATTTACCTCTAAAATTTTTATTTTGAACTGACAGGATATTAAAGTACCCCATCAGGTATCATCACTGCAGGACCCTCACCACCAAATTGCCCACTGTCCACCAGTATAGTGCATAGTGTCTCCTGCCCTCTTTACTACCAAATGGTGTCACTTACATGTGGAATACAGGGAGACAAGCTTAAAAATGAACTGTTGAGGGCCCTCCCTGATGGTGCAGTGTGTTAAACGCAGCACTGCAAGCTAGCAAGAGTTGCTTCAGTGTGAGTTTGATCCCCTGCCCGGGAGGTGATCCAAATGGTGCGCAGACCTCTCCTGACCCACCCACTGCTCCCCTCAGCAGTGTATTTCATCTATCTGTCTGTTCTGCTCCCTACTCTGTTTCTGGTGAATCCTCTCACCACCCCTGCACCTCTGGCCTGCACCCCAGTTCTGCATGCATGCATGCATGCATAAATAAATAAATAAAATATATAAAAGAATTAACTCTTGAAGGCTGAATATAGAGCTGAAGTACCCAGAGAGGGCGGGGAAGTGATGAGGGATCGAGATATAAGTAAGAACAAAAAAGGGTAATAATAATGTTGAATAACCACAAAATCAATTACAAATTAAATACCAGTCATCTGTTTACTTATTTTAAATAATCCAAGTCTAAGTTCTGTTTAAATACTAAATTCTTTTGTTGATTAACTTTGCAAGAAAATGCATTACTTTTCAGGTCAATGGTCATAAAATAGAAAGGAAAATTTATATTTTAGATGCCAGAGGTTAAGAAAATAGATTCAGAAGACAAGAGTATAATCTTTCTAGCATTTTATATTATTTTCTATTGACACGATGATTTTTTGTTATTTATTGAAAGTATTTCTTTAGTGAGGTACTTTTATTTTACATTCCTGTAAATTTTTTTGCAATATAGGATTTTCCCCCTCAGGTGTGACCATAGCTCTCCCACCAACAGAGCATCCACTTTCCTCCACCATATCCCATTGTGTGCTCTTGCCCCAATCCCTTCTACCCTTTCTCTCCCCTTCTTTCAAATCTACAGTATGCTTTCAGGCTCAGTTTTATGGATGTCTTTGATCCTCTGTTTAAGTCAGAAGGTAAATTTTAATCTATAGAGGCAGAGATGGCATGTCCTAGAGGACAAAATTGTCAGGGAATCTAGTATAGTCTACAATGAGTCTGAAAAGAACTTTGATGAAAACTAGGTAACAGTCATAGTATTTTACATTTTCTTTTCTTTCCATTATTAAAATCTGTCTCCCCTGTCTTTCCCCCTTATAAAAGAATAAAATTTAGGTTGCAATTAGTCCCAGGATGTTAGATGGCAGTCCGCAACTGTAGAACAATCTATTTGCTGTTTGCAACTGCTCATGTAGATTTGGATATGGAATTTATAATCCACCTTCAGACTGTCCAGACTAAGGCCAAGGAGTCTGTTGAGAGTGAGCACATGGGGTGAGACAGTCATACAGAGACAGCTGCCAGAGTGCCAAAGTATCCTTTCTGTCCATATGGTTGTATGTGTACCCTGGTCTAGGATGTAACAGTTTCTAAAGAGCTCTGGCTGTGCTGTTCTGGAGTAGGGCCACCTCAAGAAGATTTCTTGCAGGCAGAAATAGGATAACGTTGGATACAGAAGGTCAGAAAGTGTGTTAAGTGGCCTTGTGCGAGGCCTCTCTTCTACAGAAACAGATGAACATGTTAATAAAGGGAGGGATTGGGTTTTAGAAGAACCCTCTAAAACACCCCAGTGGTGGAGAATTTACATTTGGGATCTGATACTGCCAGAAAGCACCTTATGCTAGATCACAATGAGGCTGCTATGTAAGACCTTGTTCCTGACCTCTTCTCCCATGATTCTTCCTTCTACTCATGCCTGAAAAGACCCGAACGAGTAGCAAGTGAGTTTCTAGAGAATTACACTAAGAGGAGGATAAATGTCAGCTCTGCCATTAAGTTGTCCTCCCACCCACCCCAGTGTTTATTGGTTTTGTCTTCAATCCATGGATTTTTTCATGAAACCTTCTATGCCACATGACCATTTTGTGAGCATTATTTTTCTTAAAAATAGGTAATCTATAAACCTAATTCACTCAGCACACAGATTGTAATTTACCTTAACAGACTTGGCTGTCCCCCTTAATCCCATTATACTGTGGTGTTCCTGCTCTCCCAAATACGTTATTAAATACCACAGTAACATAAACAATTTCTGACATGTAGTCCTTGAGAGGCAGTCATGTTGGATAATGTTAATGGTCAGTTTTTCTTTGGGTTTTCAAGTAAAAATAAAAGAAACCTTTTCCACCATTATCCCAGGTATATTTTTTCTCACTCTTTTTCATACATGTGTTCTACTTTGGGTTATTTCACATGCCCTTTGGAGAACTTGCTTGCAAGTTGCTTGCAAAACAGTTCAATGAGATCAGGTAACGTGAGTTTTAATGATATAAGCACAGACAGGTCAGATTTTCTTTGAACCCTAAAGAGACTGGACCAAGTGACAGCCAAACTGATCAAAAGTCTCCTTCTATCTGGTAGGATTAAGATGAATTATGATCTAGGGCTCTTCCTGGTTTGCTGCAAGAAGGATAGCAACAGATTGATAAGTCATACTATAATTGAAAAATGTAAACTAGTTTTGTTTACTTTGCTTATAGACAGAAATTAGGGGCTACATTGCTTAATTTATCTTGGAAGTTGCTTACCTAGCAGTTTGGCTATAATGGTTTGATAACTATCACGTCCCAAGAATTTTCAACAAACTTAGGAAGTTAGATTTCATTATATAAAAGAGAAACCAAAATGTTTTCCTTGAGTGCGTTAGGCCCTTTGTAGTATGCAGCGAAGGCCGTCATGATAGCTCCATACTACAGCGAATGTTATTTTCCTGCTGCATTAAAAGACCAGGCTTCTTTAGAAAAAAATATAGTACTTCTAGTTATACCTTATATTTATTTCAAGTAGAATAAATTATTTTTTAAATTAATTGATTAATTATTTTACAGTGTTTGCTTTATTTTCTCAGGTATACTCCCTATAGAATTCCCAGCACCAATTCACCCATGTACCACCACCATAGTCCTATGTGCTGTTCCCAAACTTTGCCCTGGTCTCTCTCCTTTGCAGAATGTCTTTGACTTGTAATTGTCTTTTTATTGTTATTTGGTTTTGTTATGTTTTTATTGTTACTTATATTTTTCCTCTTGGTCCCTCATTTGGTTCCCCTATATTCCTCCTATAAATGAAGCCACCTGATATGTTTCTTTTTCAAGTAAGTTAAGTTATTATTTTGTCTTCATTGACACATTTTGAGATGGGACAGATATCTAACGTGTAAACATTTTATAAACATCTTTGATGGGGAACATATTTTGGTGTCTTCAACATTAGCTCATTCCATTCCATGGGTCCATCATCATAGGTTGGTTCATTGACACATACTAGAAATAAGGCTAGAGGACTGATGGAAAGGCTCTTGATAGCAAAATCAGTTAACTCAAACCTGAAACACTGTTCTTATATCTCACTATGTAGAATGAATTTGATGAATTAGAAATCCCATTCTGGTAGAGAAATTATGACCTAAAACTAAGTCTACTTCACCACTTTTAGGTTTGCTTTCTAGCTGTTAGACATAAGAGTCATGAAAAATGTTAATTGTTGTGGCTGAACTATTATTTTTCTTACATACTTAATGCATTTATGTGTAAAAATCTAAGCACTCTCTAAGGAATCTTTCAATTAAAAAGTTTTCTTTTGAAATTGAAGATTGAAATGCGAGCTTTATAATTGAAAGATTCCTTAGAACTTAAAGGAATTTTACAATTTATTTGAAATTTTACTTTTTGCAGGAAACTTTTTTTTTTTAAAGATTTATTTATTTGTGCATACAGAACTGGGGTACAGGCCAGAGGCTCAGGGGCGGTGAGAGGCTTCACCAGAGACAGAGTGGGGAACAGAACAGGCAGATCGACGAAGTACACTGCTGAGGGGAGCAGCGGGCGGGTCAGGAGAGGTCTGCCACACCATGTGGTCACCTCCGGGGCAGGCGAGAATTGAACTCATGCGGAAGCGGCTTTAGATTCTCAGTGCAGTGCTTTAACCCGCTGCACCACCAGGGAGGGCCCTGCAGGAAACTTTTTAATGATTCTTCTCTTTTTTTAAGATTTACTTATTAAATCATACAGAACTGGGGTATAGACTATGAGAAGCTTTACCAGAGACAGAGTGGGGAACAGAACATGCAGATCAACAAAGCGCACTGTAGAGGGGAGCAGCTTTAGAGACAGGAGAAGT